CTTCTGAAAAATTAGGGACGTATCTTGGAAACCAGGAAGAAGTCTGTAGAAAAGATAGAATTTCCATTACGCATGTTGGTTTAGGAATTTTCTGAATAGAAGATACTTTTTCGGCATCTACTTCTATACCCTCTTCTGTAAGCTAATGACGCAGATACTTTACTCTGTCACTAGCAAAATGGCATTTGCTCCTGTTGGCATTTAGTTTAACACTAGAAGCGCCGTTGGGGTCATTTTGACCTTTTTTTCCAATTTTCCGCGTTTTTTTTTTAACATACAGCTGAGTTTCGAAGCTGATATTTTTTTACTTTTTCTAAAATGTTTCCAAGTATACTATGCCAATTTTCCCTATTTCTACGTTAATTATTTAAATAAATAATCTCAGATATACCTAAAACAGCCAACTGGGGTCATTTTGACCCTCATAAGAAAAACGACATATTTTTTAAGCGAATGTCCGTTTTCGAATTCCCGATGCCACGTTTTCGTTTTCTGCGCATTGGGAAACACGCAGCTCTTATCGCGATGACTCAGGAGGAGAAAAATAAAATCCAGAACGGAGCATATTCTCTCTCCATTGCAATGCCGAGAGGAAGAGGATTGAGTACACAAGAGTGCCTTGCACCTCCTTGAACAGTTGGAATCAGATATAAGTGGTGATGATAGCAGTGATGAAAATTTTAACGTTGATGTGAACTTACAGAATGCGTCGCTCTCTGAAAGCAGTGATAGTGATGTCGAAGGACAATTCTGGAAATGTGATCCCTATTTGGGAAGCCGGAAGCTCACGGTCGTGGTCAAGGACGAGGCAACAACGTTGCTGGCAGCAGTAATGAGAAGTATACCTCATTCAGTGGTATTCTCTGGACCCCTATGAACCTTAGCAGCACCGCTTCCACTTCAGGTCGCACGCCAGCTCGAAATATTGTAACCAATGCATATGGACCAACGTCGTTTGCTCGTCGTAATATAGGAACAAATCCTGCTTCAGCATGGCATTTGATAGTGAGTTAATCAATGGTGAAACACATTTAATCATGTACAGTTGTTGAGGCACGACGCCAACTTAGAGATGATAGTAACTGGCATGTTACTCTGGCAGAACTTGATGCCTTTTTTTTGCTCTCCTGTATGCCCGTGGAGCACTTAGATATTCAAAACTTTGTGCAGATGATTTGTGGAACAAGAATTGGGGACCACCTGTGTTCAAAGAAACAATGTCACGTAATCGGTTCCGTGAAAAAATGCGGTATCTCAGATTCCGAAGCACCAGAGCTGATCGTCTCGCCACCAACAAATTTGCTCTCGCTTCTGAAACCTGGTACAAGCTAATGGAAAACTGTTATTTATGCTATAATCCTGGACCAGAAATAACCGTTGAAGAAAAAATTGTTGCCTTGTAAATCAAGATGTAGATTTATGCAGTACATGGCGAATAAACCGGATAAGTTTGGCATGAAATTCTTGGCTAGCAACTGATGTAAAATCCAAATATGTTTTAAATGGGTATCCTTATCTGCGGCAAGGATGAAGAACGACCGACTAATTTACAACTTGGGGAAAGACTAGTTCTCAAATTACTGCAACCACACATCTAAACTCCGGACTCAATGTCACAACTGACAGTTGTTTTTACTTCTGTAGAAACTTGCAGATGAACTTTCTGCGAAAAAAACCACAGTTGTCGGGACGATGAGTCTGAATAAGCGAGAATCACCCCTTATTGCTCGTGACACTTATTCGGCACGATATTCATCTTTTGCACTGAAAAATGGAGACAAAACACTCACAATATATAGGTGAAAGATCAAAAAGAATGACGTGATTCTGAGCACGATGCACAGTAATGTGTTTGCTGACGACAGCATAAAGAAAAAAACCGAACACTGTCACTTACTACAACAGTACAAAATGTGGCGTTGATGTCGCAGATCAGATGCTGAGGAAATACAGTACAAGTAGTGGAAGTCGCAGATGGTCTGTACATGTTTTTTACAACGTCCTTGACATTGCTGCACTCAATGCTTGGATTATATTCAAAGAATTCTTGGGCACCTCTATTTCCCGTCGAGAATTTATTCTTGCACTCGTGGAAGAACTAGGAGTTGGTGCACTATGCAACAGATGCCCCCCCGATTGCTCAAATACAGACACTTAAACGAAAGAAATGTGCATTTTAAAGTTTCAAGGGACAAAACAAGACTGTTGTCAGCTGTGAGGGATGCCAGAAACCAATTTGTGGTAAATGTGTTGCTGTCACTGTCAAGCGTTCATATTGTGGTAATGTATAACAAACTTTGGAAAACATTGTGTGTTTATTCCCAATTTATTTTTTTTTTTTTTTTTTTTTTTTTTTTTTGTAATTTTTTGCATATGTTCTATTTTCCACTTTTTGCATTTGTATCTTTTGTTTGTTTTTCATAGATTTTGTTTTTGTTTTTGTAATCTTACATTGAAAGATATTGTATGCTAATTTGCACTAATTGCACGAAAAAAATTCTAAAGTATAAAAATAAATAAAAAAGTCAAAAACTCTTTTAAACTCAAAATTTTATGGAAAGATAAGTGACTGGTCTACATTCTGGAACTTATTCGAAACATTGGTACAGAATACGAAATCGTTTGGCGATATTAGCAAATGCAACTATTTTAAAGCTCATTTCAGCTTGAACTGGTATGGAAACTAATCTTCAGTACCAGCAACGACGTAGTAAATTTTTCGAAAATTGTTTGATAAAATAGAAATTAGTATTGGATGTTCAGAGTCATTACGTATATAATCAATAACTTTTAGCGTATTATTATTTCCTGTAATCTTAAAAGCATTACCGAGTGATGAAATATTTGAATTTAATAAGAATTCAGGAGACGAGTATATATTAAAGATCATATTGGATGTTTATACAAAGAGTTCGTAACTAAAGAAAAAAAGATGGAGTTGAATTTTCATAACCCACCAACTCTTCCAAACGCATTTAATTCCATACCAACTGGTAGGACATCAAGGGGTGGAAACCCCTCCACCCCGTGACATCTTTCATACAGACTAGAGAACAATTTGGCCTTGAAACTAAATTATATCTCTTCGGTGGATCACCATGCCCATTGTGGACTTATCATTTTACAGGGAAGTACTGCAAAAGCAGTTGATAGTTGTGTATCAAAGTATCCAAGGCATCGCATTTGAGCAACGATTGCCAACTGAAAATAAAATATCTCTACTAATTAAAAGTGGAATTTGCTTACGATGCTGAAAAGCTGTCCTGTTTCTTCTCACTGTATATGGAAATTTGAGAAAAAACATTTATGAATAATGTGCCAATCGGGAAATAAATATTACTAGATTGTAGTTTCTCCGAGTAACACATTATTTCTAAAGCAAAAAATGCTTTATTTTTATACTTTATTGGTAAAATAAAGAACAAGGCAAACGAAGCTACTGAGAGTACTCTCCTTTGGAATAATTATTAGTCCAAAGGGGCTTTGTCTATGATGTCCGTTTCACTTTTCTATCTAAATGTCCGTTTTACTTTTCCAACTGTTGCCACCAAATATTATCGCCCTGTATTCTATTTAAAGAAAATAAATAATGAAGAATCTGCATAAATGTATGTGTGTTTCTCGCATTATGATAAAACAACGGTACATAGAGCCATCCAATTTTGAATGACGTAATCGTACTACGAATATGAACATCTAGAAGTCCAAATTTGAAATTTTGAATTTATTTTATTATCGATTTCATACTTTGTAAAACTTTAATGAATTTTTGAGTAACGAACTCAACGACTTGAAAGCAAGCAATGGCAACAACCTACGGTGAATTTTTTTTTTTTTTTAGTCCAAAGGAATTTGAATCCCGAAGGACTATTAGTTTCGTTTTGGAATTTTGCGTCGGACTCATAAATGTCGGTTCACTTTTCAAACTGTTGCCACAAAATGTTAGAGTCCTGCATTATATCTGAAGAAATTAAATAATGAAAAATCTGCATAAATGTATGTATATTTCTCGTATTGTGATAAAACAACGGTACATAGAGTCATCGAATTTTGAATAACGTAATCCTCCAACGAATATGAGCATGTGGAAGACCAAATTTGAAATTTGAAATTTGTTTTATGATCGATTTCCTTTTTTTTTTAAACTTTGACGAATTTTTGATTAACAAACTCAAGGATTTCAAAGCGAGCAATGGCAACGTTGTGCAGAAAAAACATTTTTATATCTCCAGCGCGTGAGTCCTCTGTATCGGAAATTCTAAAGATATGCTCGTTTTAAAACTATTTTGCGATATTGCTGTTGCACTGGATCTTATGGTTTAAGTGCGAGGAACATGATATTTAATAAAGAAAGGTAAGACACAAAATGTTAAAAAACGCCCCTTTGGACGTAATTTAAAATCTAAAACATTTCAGATTTTTTTTTTTTTTTTTTTTTTTTTTTTTTTATTCTCCAGCGCGCGAGATTGCGTATCGGAAATTCTAAAGATATGCTCAATTTCAAATTATTTTGCGATATTACTCTTGAGCTGAATTTTATGGTTTAAGTGCGAAGAACGTGATATCTATTAAATAAAGTTAGCACACAAAAATGTTTTAATAAACGCCCCTTTGGACGTAATTTAAAATCTTTGACATTTCAGATTTTATTTTTTTAAATTTAAAACCAATTTTATGATCTAAAATTTCCAGTAATAAACTAAAACATTAAACATGTTCATGGTGATTTATGTTAGTAACTAAGGAACCAGTGTCAGTTGCATTGCCTACGTTAATATACATGTGGAAATATTTATCATGCAAATAAACTGCAAAAGATTCTACCGATGGCTGCAGTTTGAGTATTTTATATTTGATTTAACTTAAAATTATTTCATATCCAAAGAGCGGTGAAAACCCAGTATTACCTGTTATTTATATCTTATCAGTTGCAAATACTGTGATCTTACGATTACCGGTTGCTTGGTGCACTTCATGGTAAGCTGTTACCCATTGTTGATTTAACAAAAGAACAAAGCATAAAGGCGATAAGAGAGTAAGTGTCCCTTTAGGATGAACGCTAATCCACGGATTTTACCAAAGATCGAAGCCAACTTACCCAAGACATCCACAAAGCCAATCTGGCTCTTCATGGGCACGGTGTTGATTTGGCACATATATCCTCCCCTGTCACTCTTCTGGACGTTGCGGATGTGGAGGACGAAGTTCCGATTGTCGCTATGGCTTAAGGATATCCGGTAGTTCCGGGTGATGATGTGGTGATGGATTGTGAGGATAGCTTTTGTTTCCACTTTGATCCAGGCAGCCTGAAAGATGCCGGATATGTCAAGCTATTTAAAAGGGTAAAACGATAGAATGAAAAGTTCTAAAGAAGGAAGCACTTTAGCTCCACGTGAAAAAAAAAAAAAAAAAAAAAAAAAACAAATTGCACGTAATTAATTATGCATGTGTAATTAATTGCTAGGCATTTAATTTATGGACTTATTTGATAAGCTGATCTAGTAAAGTAAATTTACAAGGCTGATGAGCTTTTACATATTGCTGTAAAAAATAAAAGTAACACGCTGCAGGTAATCATTTTACCAAACTACAATAATGTTATTTAATCAGTCCCACTTTTGTTGGCCTCTTCAGCAGATTATGTTTAGTCCTGATCACCAAATTAATTTTGAAATGCACATTTAAAACGTTTTTTAATATTGAATCACTCATCTGCATTTTAAAATTTTATTGTGCCTCATAAGATGCATACGTATACTAATGTCCATATTTAAATACATAAATATCCACATTGAAATAATCAAAATAAATATGATGCTGGAAATTATTTTTAAAAAAATATTTTTCCTAGTTGTCTTTGTAAGGTGCTTTTGCATTCCTTCCTTAGCGTGCGCCGGAAATAAATGCTTAACACGTCTAACTAGCAAATGGAAAATCAGTAACTTGAATTTAGGCAAGAGCACAGTTAACTTATGACACTTTCTGGCTGCGAAATAAATTCTCTAAAATAAAGTGGATGGCTACAAATTCTTCATTATATAAATTTGTCACGACTTAGATTTGTAACTCATTTAAGATGATTGCTCTGTAACAGGGAGAGAATGTAAGGAAGTATCACATTTCTCTATGTGTACAGTCACGTTAAAATGATATCACCCCAGCTAACGAGCGGAAGATCCATGGTTTAAATCCCGGCAAGGCTTCAGTTTCCATGTTTTCTGATTTCCATAAATTTAACACATCTATACAATTCCTGTTTCATTCATTACTTGGCAGGTATTACTGCCAGTTTCTAAATGGAAGTATATTGTAGAATGAGCATTCAAATTTTTCTAACATTCTTTTGCGAACGTATTTAAGAATGTATCATTCGTATGATGCGTGTTTTAGAGTACTCACTTACACGAAGATAAACCCATAATTGTAATGAAACCTCTCCATTTAGTAGTAAAATATTTGATTGTTATGAATAAAATTAAACATATCATATACAGTGAAATTCCAGTCATTTTGCCCACAATTATCTGGCGCCGCAATTATTAAAATTACATGTTCTTTCTTGCAGAATTTTAAAATTTAAGTTAAATATAAATTTATTTAAAAGCTTCTTATTTTTTCGTGAATTAAAATAAGATAATGAAGGAAGGTGAAAGAAATTGGGATTTATAATGTTATGAAGCTACCATATTAACGTAGATGAATGACTGTGGCATGTGTGACGTCTACAAAAAAAGATCATATATCTTAAACCAAAACACATTTCATACATATTCATCGAATTTAATTAAGTAACACGAAACATGCATCAGCAAAGCGTTGTAATCTTACATTTTGAGAATACCTAAGTTTTTACTACATTTGGTATACAAGATGTTTTTCACCATTTTGCTTACTGCATAAAAACAGAGCGAAAGATTTTTAATTCTAGTACAAAGTACTGTTACCGCCAAAAATTCACATGTATCATATTTCAACAGAAATATCTATTTTGAACACCCCGTATCCATTTGAAAGATTTTTTCTTGAGTGATATCTATATGTACGGACAGAATAAAGAACTCATTTTAGAAAACCGATTGCAAAATGGATTAAAAGTGGATTTTATTCGTGATGACTGTACGCATCTGGATGCCCTAATTTGGAATCTGAAATTTATTTTATTATCGATTTTATGTTTTGTAACACTTAACGAATTACTGATTAACAAAATTAATGATTTCAAAGTGAGGAATGGCAACACTGCACGGGAAAAAAAAAAAAAAAAAAAAAAAAAAAAAAAAAAAAAACATTTTGATCTCCAGCGTGCGAGACTATGTATCAGAAATTATAACGATATGCTCATTGTAAAATTATTTTGCGACATTGTTGTTGAATAGAATTTCATGGTTTAAGTACAAAGAGCATTTAATATATAAAGGTAATACACAAAAGGTTAAAAAATGTCCCTTTGAGCGCAATGTAAATCTGAAAAGCTTTCAGATTTTCTCCCTTTTCTTTTCTTTCATTTAATTTGTGTTTTACTAATTTAACTTGTTTCACGGTGGTTTGGCCTACAAATATTTAAGCAGCATTTTTATTTCTGTTTTGAGTTTTGAGATTTTGAATTATATACTATATAATATACTTGGCATTCATTGGCCGTTACTCGGCTTAAGATTTCTTACCCATCCTTTATTTTCGTATTGTTGATCGTAGTCATATCGTTCCAATTACAGACTGTTTTAAATAACGAAAATATTCATTTTTAGGCAAAGTCAAACTTAATTTTTTTTTTACAAGTAACGAAATCCAACTTTTAACATGGTTTCCCGGTTCCTATACTTACCTATGTTTGGGAGTGTTTATATTCGTTATGAAAAAAGGAGAAGTTTGACTTCCGTACGACAAAAATTGACCGGGATATTTTATTCCAAAATTTGCAATTTTTTATGTCATTTTCAACTTGCCTTTAGAGATCGGTTAATTAATTTAGATAAAATAAGTTTAAACGATGTGCGATCAAAAATATGGAATAATTTAATGAGCCGTAACCAGGAAGTCACGTGGTGTTCACATAGCTGTAAGTCGGCTGACTGTCTGTACGAAACCAAAATTTTGCATTAAAGTACTTAGACTAATTTCGTTAACATCATAAAAAACATGCTAAACGTTTAGACTTATGAAAGAGACCATTTAATTTAAAATCGAAATAAATTAATATGTATAGATATAAAGGAAAGTAATTAAATATATTTACTTAACAGCAGTAATGAAATATATTTACTTAGCAGCAGTAAATACCACATAGAAAATGCAAACAATCATTTATTACATAGTGTATTTAAAAGCTAACTAAATAATGCTTGTTTCGTAATTTAAAGAAAGTAAATATGTAAATAATAATGCATTTTTTAAAAAAAAATATATTCAAACATAAATGTACTTGAAACCTTTAGATAAGAAATTATTTATATTGACTTTTATTAAATCTTTGTTATTTCCAAGAAAAATGCTTTCTAAACATTTAAATATCTAAAGGTAACTAAATAAAGCTTACATCGTAAGTTAACGAAAGTAAATATGCAAATAATAATGTATTTTAAAAGAAATTAAATTCGAACATAAGCGTACTTAAAACCTTAAGATAGAATATATTTATTTCCATTGACTTTCTATTAAATCTTTGTTGTTTACAAAAAAACATTTTCGATCGATTTTAAATATTTAACTGTCTGCCTATTTTTTGTAAGAATGAATTTTAAGGGAAACATTCTTTCGTTCTAATTATTTACTGTAAAGCGAAATTTCATTCAACTCAACGGTATTCTTTTGGGATTATAAATCATAAAATATTTGTAAGGCGAAATAGAATCAGGAAATGTTCTTAACAGTATTTACGAAAGTAATTAGGCACTTTTATCTAATACTTAAATGCATCTACACTCATGTCCGTAAATTAAGGATAATGCAAAATCAGGCAAATGAAGAGTTAGAAGCAAAACAAATTTGACTTATTTGTAAAGCTTATTTATTAAACAAAAGGTAAAGAGCAAGAAAAGATGCTATATGTTTGATATTATTAAAAATTAAGCGATTTTTTTCTCCCTGGAGCAAATTGAAAAAAAAAAAAAAAAAAAAAAAACTATTTACAAAAAACCAATATTACATGGTTGGTATGATTGGTAATACATTGTATGTCTCCCAGACGATGCATAACAGTCCGCACAACGCCTAGACAATGCTGAGTTATCAAATTATCGATCTGATCTTGGGGGATATTACACCACTCAAAAAGCAATGCTCTCCGAAGTTCCGGTAGGCATGTAGGAGGAGGTTGACGGGCTGCAACTCGTCGGCCAAGCATGCCCCACACGTACTCTACTGGATTCAAGTCCGGTGAGAATGCTGGCCAGTCCATACGGGTGATATTCTCCGATTGAAGGCATTCGCTTACGATGTTTGCACGGTGAGGACGGCCGTTGTCATCCATAAACACAAATTGTGTTCCTATGGCGCCCCAAAAAAACGTACATGTTATTCCAGAATGACGTCCCGATAGATTAGGCTTGTCATGGTTCCACTTTGAACACGCAGGTCAGTTGTGGAACCCAGAATAATTCCACCCCAAGCGAGCACTCCTGCACAACCGTAACGGTGTCGTTCAATGATGATTTTTGGTGGTAACCGAGCATATAGACCAATCTGTCCTAAGCGTCTGTACACGGTCTGCCTTGAAATTGTCGTACCAGTGGCTGAAGAGAGCTGACGAGACAGCTCTGAGGCTGTGCTCCGCCTGTTTCTTTTGGCAGTAACTGCCAAATAACGGTCCTCATTCGGCGTTGTAACCCTGAGGCGACCTGTGCTGTAACATCTACTCACATTACCATCATCTTGGAATCGTTTCCAAAGCCTGGAGATGACACTCTGGGCAATTCCAAGTTCGTCTGATACTTCCAGTTGGGTACGCCCACATTCCAGACGGATAATTCTACTACGTAAAAAATCATCCAAATCGTCCTTTGTGTCATAATTATTCGGTTATTGCACTGTAATGCTTATAAAGCGCCTGCGAACAATTTTACTTCTTTGCCTGTATTCCTTATATATCACTCTCTTACACTCTCGTCATTGTGACGTACCCATCGGTGTCATCTGGTTACTTCCTGAAATTTGCGTATGATTCTTGAAGATGTGTGTAGTTATTTTACAGGTGATATATTTATTTTAGAATTCGATTTCCGCGTAACTCCGAATTATCCTTAATTTATGGACATGAGTGTAATAATAAAATGTAATAAAAATGGAAAATGAGTAATTCCCAACTATT